ACTATTAGGAGGTGTGGCTTTGTTGGAGGAAGTATGTCAATGTGGAGATGGGCTTTGAGGTCTCCTTTGTTCAAGCTACACTCAGTGTAGACACAGTTCACTTCCTGTTGCTGCAGATCAAGATGTAGGACTCTCAGCTCCTTCCCCAGCACCATGTCTGACTGCATGCCGCCATGTTTCCCTGCCATGATGGTAATGGACTAAACCGCTGAAACTGTAAGCCACCCAAATTAAATGTTTTCCTTTATAAAAGTTGCTGTGGTCATGGTGTCTCTTCACAGCAATTGAAACCTTAACTAAGACATCCTGTCTCAAGCAACAATGACAACAACAAAAGTCATCCCAGCAATCAACAACAAAATACTGTATATGGACATCACTAATTAAATAAGAACCTTATTAATAGCAATAATAAGACATGAAATGGGAGAAAGAGAGGGTGGGGCATTGGGGAGAGCTGGAGGGAGGTAATGGTGGATGGATATGATTAAAATGTATTGTAGAAATATATGAAATTGTCAAAGAATAAATAAAAGTATTACCTAAAACAACAAGCAATCAATAGCGAGTATATCAAGCTCTCAGAATAGTAGCAATATGAGAAAGAAGCAGGTCTATCTCCCTGTTCTGGTAGCAGATAATTGAAAGTGAAGTTAATAAATAAAATGTTTTGTGCCCAGAGAGATGGCTTATTGGCTGAGAGTGCTTGCTGCTCTTCCAGAGGATTTGAGTTCAGTTCCCAGCTCCAGCTCCAGGGATAATCTGACTTTTCTGTCCCCCACAGACACTCTTACAATGCCCCCCAAGTGATATTCATAATTAAAAATAAATCTTTTTTAAAGGAATAGAATATTTCAATAATAATGGGGGAGAGACGCAAATTACTTTTGATTTTTCAACAACTAGAAAATACTGATGAAATAAAAGAACAACAGAAGTCTGATGATTTAACTTGATCTAGATGCCCAAGACCCTGGGTTCTATCCCCAGCTCTGGAAAGAAGAATTAAAGAGGTCACCCTGTTTGCAGATTGCGTAACTGAGCATCAATAAAATGCCAGTTCTCCCCAAGCTAATCTTTAGAGTCAGCACAATCCTTCTCACATTTAACAGAAAATTTCAAAAAGTATTGACAGGCTAACTCTGAAGTTTGTATTAAAATCAAAGTAGTTAAAAATAAGCAAAGGGATGTTGAAAAGGAAAACAACATGTATGAAAATGCTATAATTAGAAACACTGCTCTGTATACTTAAAAGATAAAAGTGAATGACTCTGTGTGGTTTTAAGGTAATCTTAGTTGTTATCTAATGACTAGTAATAGCAAAAATTGTCCTAAAAATCTCACACTAAAAATCAGTTGACTTGTTTCTTAAGGCAGGGTCTCACTCTATAGCCCTGGCTGGCCTGAAACTTGCTGTGTAAACCAGACTGACCTGGATCTGATAGAGATCCACCTGCCTCTGCCTCCTCCCGAGTGTTAGGGATTAAAGGTGTGCACCACCATGCCTGGTCTAGCCAGCTGATTTTTTTTTTTTTAACACACACACACACACACACACAGTAACCAGGACTGGAGCCATCTGAGATGAGTGAATTGTACCACCATCACTAATCTGTTTGTGATACTGTACTATAACTTTTTAAAACATTGGCGTTGAGAGAAACTGGGCAGAGCACACAAATGATTTCTCTGTGCTGTTTGCTACAACTGTAGTAAGAAACAATTATCAGAGTAAAACCTTCAGCTAAAACCTGAAATGCAGTTGGGCAGAATCCTGTGCACTTAGAATGGCAGCTCCCTGGTAGGTTCAGCCAGCCTGAGCAACAGAGGAAGACTATAAGGACACAGAAACATAAGCCTAAATGTAGAAGTAACTTCCCCCTCCAGCTATGTGTATGTGGGTGCCTGAGGGTATGGATATGTCCCACGTGTGTGCAGGAGCTGTGACAAGAAGGGACTAAGGGATCCCCTGAAAGTAGAGTTATAGGCAACTGGGAGCAACCATGTGGGTATCAGGAAATAAACTCGGGTCCTCTGCAAGTAGAGTAAGTATTCCAAACCACCTCCAGTCTCTAGAGGACCTTAGGGGTAACTTCGTAATACTTATTTTCATTATATGTTTTTCTTATAACTCCAAGAATTATTGCTTTTATAACTCTTAGAAGACAATAATAGCAACAACTTCATGACCTGTGGGTAGGCAAAGATTTATTAGGACAAAAAAAAAAAAAAAAAAAAAAAAAAAAAAAAGCAATGAACATTGTTTTGGGCTATTTGATTGCACTGTGAAACCCAAGACTGTGTTAAAATCAACCTTGGATCAGAAAGCAAAGCCAGCCACTAGTTAGAATTGTCCATAGGGAGTACAGAGAAGCCACAACACCAAATAGAGAGATGAACAAGAAGGAGTAGGGAGGGGCTTGGAAAGTCAGTCTTTTGTTTGTTCGTTCGTTTGTTTTGGGACAAGTGGAGAGATACTCTCTTGCTGGGTCTTTGGCTAAAAAGGAAGGAAAGAAGGTTGCTTCTCAGTATCTCTGAGCCAGTAGGTTTTCACACCAACATCTGACTGCTGAGTCTTTATTGGTAAATGGAATGATAGAGACTTAGTTGGGGGCTGGAGAGATGGCTCAGAGGTTAAGAGCACTGGCTGTTCTTCCAAAGGTCCTGAGTTCAATTCCCAGCAACCACATGGTAGCTCACAACCATCTGTAATGAGATCTGGTGCCCTCTTCTGGCCTGCAGGCATATTATATGTACGCATAATTAAGAAACAAACTTGAAAAATAAAAAACATAGTTGAGTGCCAGTAGGATCATAAATCCCATCTGAGTGGTGGGCCTCTGACTGTAGGGCTATGGATCTGCAGAAGATAGTTAAAGTATCATCAGTAGATTCGGGCGCAGCTGCTAAGCCAAAGGGAAAACAGCAGAATATGGCATACAGTTTTAGTAAATTGTAGTTCATTGAGCTATGGTGGTCCATACCTATGACCCAGGCGCCACAGAGAATCACAAGTTAAGGCCAGCCTAGGTGAACTAATGAAAGAAAAGAGGACCACCTACCCCTTCCAATTTGACTGAGAAAAACTAACCAAATAGTGCCATCAGGATGCAAGGGATGTGTGTGTGTGTGTGTGTGTGTGTGTGTGTGTGTGTGTGTGTGTGTGTGTAGGGGAGGGAGGGCGGGCGGGCACTGTGGTCTTTGCCTGCAACTGCTGCCCAGTACCATTTCACACTGTGAAAAGGACACGACTCCACAGCAACCCAACCCTGATGTTAGTGTTCAGAGACGCCAAAAGACATCATCTTTTGTACAACATTTCTGGATGGCAAGAATTATATTCCTTATTAAAAATGAGAAACAGAGGTGTGGGGGCGGGGAGGTAGCAGATGGGGAATTCAGCCAGATCGGTTTGACTGAGATGTTTTCAGTTCTGTTTTTGTGGTTCTATTTCCTTGTCGTTTAAGATGAAAAACTGGAAGATGACACATGGCCCAGTTTAGTAGATGATTCGTTCTTCATTGCACAGTTCCATCAGCGCCAGGTCTGTTTGATGAAGATAAGCTAATTTGGGTCTCATAAGGGTTCCTTTGAGCAAGCCACCACCTTGTAGCAAAGAACATGATTTGCAGGAGAGAGTTAATCTTGCAGACCAAAACATCCTACTAGCCGCAGTTAGACATTTTTGTATTAATACAAAGCGAAAATAGTAAGCTCATTCCGTAGCATAAGCCTAATTAAAAAGTATGTTTTCTAGAGATTTGCCTTTGAACAAAACAATCTCACTCATTAATATTATCAGATATAAAAAGACCAAGTTTTAGGGGCTGGAGAAATAGTTTAGTTGTTAAAAGGGGCTGCTCTTCCAGAGGACCCAGGTTTGTATTCAACTCCAGCACCCACAGAATGGCTCAGAACCATCGGTAACTCCAGTTCCAGAAGATTTGGCGATATGGTGCCCTCTTCTGACGACCTTGGGCACCAGACACAGACGCATTTGCAGGCAAAACGCTCATACATACAAAAATAAATAAGCGCCCCCCTCTAGTTCTTTAAATAAGAGCATAAAAAGCAGGGTAGCCCACGGTGATGTATTTGGCAGCACGCTTAAATTCTTATTTTTAGAATTATTTGTTTTATTTATGTGTATCTTGTCAGTGGAACTTGCAAGCGCCCCATATGTAGTGCCAGGAGAATGAGGAAGTCAGAAGAGGCTTAGGCTCTCCTGGAACTAAAGCTACAGGCGGTTGTGAGTCACCTTGTGGGTGCTGGGAATCGAACCTGGGACCTCTGAGAGACCAATACCTTTTCAGCCACACTCAAACACTGTCTTTTCATGGTATAAATCAGACTTTTGATATGCTTAGATTAATACCCACTTTGAACTCACAATTGTTTGCAGACTTAAAGACGACTCTCATATTCCTGAAAAGCCATCTCCGGCGTGGCACTCCCTCAAGGATGTCATGGATGAATGAAAAACTGTACAGCAACTCTGGCCGGCGAGTAGGTTGGAGGTGGGAATACAGCTGCACCGAGCACGGGGTCTTTACCTTAGTGCCTCTAGAACCTGATGTTTCCTCCAGCCAATGAGAGCTCGCCACTGGCAGCAGTGGGCTGGGTACTGGGTTGCTAGGACAACCATTGCGTGAAGACGCTGAGAGTCAAGTTGGACGCTTCCTGACCTTGTCCAGGCCCCAGTATCTGGTATCTATACTGTCTGCAGAGGCTGTTTCCCAGTAGCTCACGGGGACTTGTAGGGACTACGTGACCCTCTTCATCGGCTCTAATTCTTCAGTGGACACTATAATGTGACAAAATGCCGGTGCTGCCTGCGGGTGCCCTTGGGCTCCTGAGTGAAGAGGCTTTGTAGACACCTCCCTTCCCCCAAAACAACCTGGGGATCTCTTGGCCCCCGGGAGGAGGAAAAAGACGTCGGGGGTGGGAAGGGCGTCTGTCTGTGTCTTTGTGAATTTTGCATCCGTTCATTGATTTATCAGCTCTTTAAACGAGGCTCTAGGCTTGCTGGTTTGACAGAAGTTGTGCGCAGCTGTCGCCCTAACCGCACAATCCCCAGGAACAGAATTTGGTTTCTTGGAGAGCCATGGGCAGCAAGAAGAAAGAAATGGCCCTGCAGGTAAGCCTCTAGGGGCGCTAGCTCCCAGCACTTGGTTGGGGAGGGTGCTGTGGGTGTGGGGTGCAATATAAAAAACGACTTCCTACTTGCTAGCAGTATGTGGCCGTGTTCTGGAGCCTGGGTGCCCTACCCTTTTGTGTTAAAGTAGAAATAAATATCGGGAATACATACCTAGTACACAACCTTACATAGAAGTATATACCCGACCAAGGTAGAAGATCTTATTGGGGCTTTGTAACCATAAGATGCAAATGAGCATTGACATAAAACCACAAATTCGAGAGCAGATCAAACAGCCTAATCCCCAAGCTTATTTTCTGTTGAATAATAGTTGCAGAAATGATACACACAAACACACACACACACACACACACACACACACACACATTCTTTGGATTTGGGCATGCATCTGTGGACTCTTTGATGAACAGTTTCCCTGCACTGTTTTATTCAAACAGTAAGGCTTGAGATGTGTTGTGTGATGAGCATTTGCTTTGTACACTGTTTTTCTTCATTTGCACACAGGACAAACCACCCCCGTACTTCATTGTTTTTGAGACAGGGTCCCTTTACGTAGCTCACCTGTGAAGTGAGGCTGTGCAAATATTCCAAAGGGTCACAAGGCCTTGGCATCCTAGGACTCCAGAGTGTATGCGTGTGTGTGTGTGGGGGGGCTTCTGAGGTATATTCTCACTGCCTAGTTCTCCCCATTACTGCTGTGCACCATTTCCTCAACCTCTTTGAACATGTACAGAAGCAGGGCAGATAACACATACACTGCAAAGTTATGGTGATGAGACTCCAGATGGTTTCAGGCCAGCCTGCATGCACTCAGTGTGTGTCTCACAACAGCCCATGTTCTTCTTAGTTCACCTTTTAATGTCCTTTATCCCCTGTGGTGTGTGTGTGGGGGGGGGAGAATAATATTTGTTAGTGGTGTTTTATACTATTTCTCAGAGTTAAGCATGATTCAGTATTCCAAGTGCATAGGAAGGGGGGGGGGGAGAAAGAGAGAGAGAGATCTTTTTCCACTCTCTTTGAATGCATTGCTCAAGAGCTCTAACAAACCCAGGAACCCTATTTTCTCTCTGTCTTAGGGTTTTTTCCTGTGGCCGATACAGAAATCACATGACATTAAGGAATAATCTTGTCCAAAGGTGCCAGGAAGTCTATTCATTCTCTCCAAATGCAGACCATGGGGAAGTTAAAGTATTTTTCATGCTCATATACTCTACAACCAGGAGTAGGATAGCTCATCTGGTCCTAGGGCTGGAATGGCTCACTCCATGAAGGGTACCAAGAGGTAGAGCCGTGCCAATGGCATCAGTTAAACCTCTGGTTGGTGACAGGGCTCTCCTGTCAACTTGCTTCAGGGCAGGGCCAGAATGATAACAGTTCAACTCTCTCACTTAAGGTTTCAAAAGATCTTTTTTTGTGTACACACACACACACACACACACACACACACACACACACACACTAAATACATCGTTTAAAAAAACTTTAAAAAAGCACAAGTTGTAATTTTCATGATCTCTTCATTCATATAGTGTCAGAGTAGTGCCCTGTCGTTTCTCTTTGCTTCAACAAAGTACCAGACAGAAGCAGCTCAAGAGAGTTGTTTATTTGGGATCACTGTACAGGGCGCAGTCCATCATAACAAAGAAACATGGCAGCTAGTGGCTTTATTCTCAGGACCGAGAGCTTGCAACATGGCTCTTTACATCTGGGTAGACAGGAAACTGAGACAGGTCTGGATATGGGTACTGAGCTATAGAGCCCTCAATGCTTATCCAGACTGGCTTATGTGTGCCAGTTTTGCCCCAGGCTGTAAAGGCTCCAGAACCTGCTAGATGCCACCACTGGCTTGAGACCAAGAGTTCAAACACAGGCGCCTATGGAGAGGCATCTCACTGTGAAACTGTAAGGCTCCCTATAGAAACATGTTCATTAGAAGGGGCAGGAGAATCATTGTCCAATGGAGGATCCTGGCTGACCTCCATGAGTGATCTGTGAGTGTGCTCTCCAATGGGCAGGTGGAAACGATGTATCACCTGATTGCATAATGAGGGCAAATCTCTGCAGTTTCTCTAACTCTTCAAACCAACCCAGGGATATGCCACAAGAGAAAAACAGGTACAGGTGAGCCCAGAGTAACTGGCAAACAGTTTCCAAAGAGTCAAGGGGTGGAAATAAAACAGCTGATGAGCAATCCCATATACAAAAGAAGTTTGAAAGAACCTTGGAGCTTGATTCTGGTGTGTGTGTGTGTGTGTGTGTGTGTGTGTGTGTGTGCGCGCGCGCGCGCGCGCGTGCACGCACCTGTGCGCCCGTGCTTGTCGGGGGAGGTACGGGCGTGCATGCATGCATGCGTGCACATACCTATACCAGTGCCTGTGTCTGCCAGAGGTTGATGTCAGGAGGTCTTCCTCAGTTGCTTCTCTACCTTATGAAATAGGGTCTGGCCCTGAAGCTGGACCTCCCCATTTCAGCCAGAAGGCTTGGCTGACGAGCTCCCAGGATCTTCCTGTCTCTTTGCAGATGCACACCACCATTCCCTCCTTTTTATATAGCTGCTAAGGACCCAAACTTAGTTCTTCTTATTTGTGCAGTGAGCGTTTTACTGAGTCATCTCCCCAGGTCCCTGGTCAGTGTTCAGGAGTGGTAGGATGTCAGATTGACAGTTTATTTTCAGGTAATCAAAAAGTACTCCCAAATATTCTTTATGCCATATTTACTGTTAAAAAAAGATTTATTTATGAGTGCTCTGTCTGTACACCTGAATGGCAAAGAGGACATCAGATCTTGTTATAGATGGTTGTGAGCCACCATGTGGTTTGCTAGGAATTGAACTCAGGACCTCTGGAAGAGCAGTGATGCTTTTAACTGCTGCCTTCTCTCCAGTTCCTATACTGTACTTTCAAGTACATGTTATTTTTTTATAATTTTGAAAACGTTTTAAAATAAAGATGGGTTTTGTATGTATTATAAAAGAGTGGAGAGGGAAAACATTCATTTCCATCTTGTGTTTCATATCTAATATATCAGAACTCTCTATAAATATGAAAAATGTGAATGAATGGCAGACTAATAATTTCAGATATTGAGTGAACATAAACTACAAAGGGAAACTGGAGTGTGACACTTTGTGTGCAGCTTAACAATATAAGACAACTTTATGACTCCTGGAAGAATAACATGTAACATTTTTTAATGTCTGAAAATAGCACACATTGATTTTAGGTCAATTTTTTTCCTGAAGTGTAAGGGGAGAGGAAAGAAAGAAGATTGCCAAGAGAAGACAGAACTATGTTTGGAAACAATGCAGAGAGAGAGAGAGAGAGAGAGAGAGAAAGAGAGAGAGAGAGAGAGAGAGAGAGAGAGAGAGAGCAAGAGAGCTGTATCGGGCTGTAGAGGGAAGTTTCTGTCCAACCCCAACCCAGTCCTGTAGCCATTTAGTTCCAAATAAACACACAGAGGCTTATATTAATGATGAACTGTTTGGCTGATGGCTCAGACTTCTTATTAACTAGCTCTCTCTCTTAATTCTTAACCCGTTTCTATTTGTCTGTGTGCCTGACTTCATGCTCCAGGAGTGTCCCTCCTTCCAGCTTCATGTCCCGGGTGTGTCCCTCGTTCTCTCTTCCTTCTCTCGTTCTTCCCCTTCTTCTAAGCCTAGATTTCCCCTCCTATTTATTCTCCCTCCCACCAGCCCTGCCTCTCCTTTCTCCTGCCTAGCTATTGGTCATTCAGCTCTTTATTAAGTCAATCAGGTGCCTTATGCAGATTAAAGTGAAACAGATGTAACACATCTCTACATAATTAAACACACATCCTTACATCAAACAAATGCAGCATAAACAAAAGTAACACACATTTACACAGTTAAAATAATATTCTGCAGCATAAACAAATGTAACACATCTTTGCCTAGTAAAAAATAATATGCTCCAACAGAGAGCAATGGAGAAAAGGAAGTGGCTTCCCATCTCTGCCCTTACTTTACTGATGCTGCTTTTGAACCTTCTGGCTACAGGTCAACATCAACACCCAGGAGCTTTGGGAGGAAATGCTAGGTTCCAAAGGACTGACAGGTGATTCAAAATGAACCCATGTCCCCTGATCCATTCTCTTCAAAGTCATTCAATGATGCATGTGAAGAAGGGGTTACAATGAGTGGTATTTTCTTTTAAGCTGTTGTATTTCATTTATTTGGACACCAGTAAATTCATTTCAGTGAATGAGTCAGTACTGTCAGGTATTGGGGCTCTCTTGGTTTAGAGGCAGTCACGGGACATTTTAATGATCTGTGGCACAAAAGAAGAATGTTTTGGGAGGGGAAATGGGGGTTTCCTGGGGTGGAGAAAGAAAGAGATATCACAGAGAATTGGAAACCAGCAGGGACTGTACTACCTGTCCAGGCCTATCTTCTCTGCATCAGTACCCATTGCTGATTTACCTGCACAATAATGGGTTAAGCATTTAGCACCCTCCAGTGTCTGCAGGTCAGGGTTAAGTGCAATCCGGCTGGGTATCTCTGGCCCCAGAGGCTTTACCAGAACACATTTTGCGTGTCCTACTTTTGGAGTAGTTTGCATTCCCTTCAGATATTCACTGAGTAACACTCTGGTCCATGCCATCCCCCACGTGTTTCTTCTAGCTACACAAATTCTATCTCTCCCCCCACCCTCATCCCCGCTTTTTTTTTTTTTTTTTTTTTTAAAGATAGGATCTCATGCAAAACAAACTCACTTGGAGTTAAGGATGGTCTTAAACATCTCATCTTCCTGCCTCCAGCTCCCAAGTGTTGAGATTACAGTCATAAGCCACCATACCAAGCTACTTCAGAAATGTTTCAGATCCAGAATGGCATGTTGGAATGAGGGACGGGTATGGTTTATGCTCAGTCCTAATCTGCTAGGTTGTCACCTGTCCTGCAAGCATTTCCATTGCAGGAGTGGGGGAGGTGTGAGAGCAGACTGTCTGCAGGGACATGGCTGTCTGCTGAACATTGTCACTCCTTGGCTCCTGCAGTTGTGGACGTCTACCAGGGCTGGTGTGGTCCCTGCAAACCTGTGGTTAGCCTCTTCCAGAAGATGAGGATCGAGGTTGGTTTGGACCTTCTCCATTTTGCTTTGGTAAGATTCCTTCTTTGCAAAATGTCACACAATAGTGTAAACAAATTAAACATGGGAGAAGCACGGGGCAAGAAGTCCAGACTGCCCTTTTCAAATAGAAAGGCACCATTTGTCAGTGCTGTAGTTTCTCTAGACTTAAAGGCCTCAACCTCACCGCCAAGCTGTACACCGGAAAGAAACATATGTCACTCAGAAGCATCTGCATATCTGTCTTGGCTAGTGAGCACTGTTGGCCGAAATATCACTTTCAGAGCCATCCTCTCTGTCTTAAAGGGGATCTTTTAGCAAATGTTTTCTCAAAGTACAAAAATGGGAATTCCATAGAGGTGTGAAAGAGACTCTACTGACACACTGCACACTGATGCATTTCGAGGTCCACAGACACTAAGGACAGCAGGAGGCAACAGGGCTTACCTACACTAATCTCTCAGGACCATAGACAGTGAGGGGATGCCTGGGGACCTTCAGGTCTGTCACTCCCAGCCATGGCCACAGAAGGATGTGAGATGGTGGGGTACCCTGGACCCATCGAGTAGCTGGGTGAGGAGCCAGAGAGGCTCATCTCCTTCCCACTTGACTCTTCAAGATCATGCCACTGGCATAACTGTCACCAGTATGTTGACAAGCCAGCGAGTTGGGCTTCATTCGGGACGTCAGTCACAAGGGCATTCGGTGCTGTGACCCTGCACTGACTGCACCTAAGGTACCTGTTGACAGCTTGCTTTCTTCAGGCAGAGGCAGACTGTCTTGATGTTCTGGAAAAATACCGAGGGATGTGCGAGCCAACCTTTCTGTTCTATGCAGTAAGTATCTTTTGCAGAACTGGAATGGTTATCATGGCTTCTTTTATTGTTTTATTAATTATTAAGGCTTGGGATCAGATATTAGGGTGTAAACCTGATAGGTCCACTGAGTGATAGATATCAGCTGTCCTCCTCTCCTCCTTCCTAGATCAAGAAGACCTGTGAAGCTTTGCAAGCCCCTCCTTATTCCTCTTTATGTCTCTCTATCTTCCTTTGGGTCGGCCAGAAAACTCTGTGGTTTATTCCAGCCAGCTGATTGTGGACTCCGCCCACTGAATCAAGGTTTAACTCCATTGGTGGTCTCTGATTGACAATACAAACAAATCTCCCACAACACTTTGTTGCCTACAAATCTGGTGTTCAGTTTGATGCATCAGTTCTCTGGAGCCACCATGAAGCCTCAGCCATGCTAAGGGGTGATGCTGTCCCTGACACACCCTCTAGACACATTTACTAAGACATGGGCATGCACAGGTGTGGTCTTTCCTGCCTGGGGGCCCCGTGCTGCCTGAGAGGAAAGACACAGCTCCACGGGTGGCCACTGGTGGCTAGACAGCCTTCCTAGGTGACTGTGCGTGACAAAGGACACACGCCCTGAATGCTCATAATCAGACTTGGACACACTAGATTGCAGCTCTACTCTCAGAGCATAGTTCTGAGATTTCTCTTCTCTGCCAAGGGAAACTTTTAGGGGAAATGAACACATTATAGAGAAGCTGTGTATTTGCCTTGATAACAACAGTGTGAAATGAAAGTGACGGAGCCTCCTGGGAACCAAAAGGGTGTCTTCGGATGTGCCACCCGTGGCCAGCGCCATGCCCCTAAGAGCCTACTGTTGCAGCCCTGGCTTCCCAGGTGGTGGCTGGGGTTGTGGCTGCCTGCCAGACTCAGGAGGCAACTGGAGGACAGCCTGATGCAGCCTCAGCCCTGCCCCCTCATGGTAGTCCGGGAAACGAGGGTCTGCTCTCTCAGGTCTCCTGACAGCCAGTCAGGTTACTTAGTTCAGCTCTTAGCCTTGAGTGTCACATATTAGAAACTTTTTCTAATTATGTATTATGCATCTCTCTCTCTCTCTCTGCTGTGTGTGTGTGTGTGTGTGTGCGTGCATGACAGAGCACGCATGTGATGGTCAGATGACAGTTGGTTCTCTCCTTCCACCATGTGGGTCCTGGGGATCGAACTCAGACCATCATCTTTGGAGGGAAGCATCTTACCAGCCCCACATTAGAAACGTAGGCTAAAATGTCACTTGACCTTTGACCTTTGGTAGTGAGACCCAGTTTCCAAGTAGCTGGGGTTGCCGGGAGATAGAAACATTTAGTGGGAAGGAGGTGGCCATGCCCACCCAGCCACACTGGCCATCAGAGCTGTCACAGAACACAGTCCTTACTGAAGTTATTTGATTGCTTGACCTGATGGTGGTTGAAACATAAATCACACCCATCTGTGGGGGAATTCAGGCCGCAGTCTCCAACCCATGGTGGTCCACGAGGGGTTGGAGAGAGATAGAAGCAGGGGACATTCTACAGGAGCTGCCACTGCAGCCCCTGTGGATGATCCACTTCTCAGTGACACCCATGGGGCAAACTCAGGTCCACCCTCGGCGCCACCACTCACAACCAAGCCCTCCCTGACTGCCGCAGCCAGTACTGGGACTTCACTCTCCCACACCCTCGCTGCCAAGCTTCAGACACGAAGTCCTCTCCCAAAGCAGTTGTGTTCTCCTAAGTTGTGTGTCTGGAGTGAGCACCCCACTGTACTTTCACTGAGGCAGGCAGACCCTTAATGTCTTGTATTCTCTGCCTCAGCCTGTGCTTGGTATAGTAAGTATAAATATCTGCCAGTAAGCCACGCGTAAGTCACACTGAGTCACAGAGTTTCCTGTGAATTGTTACTAACTGCCAATTGCCCTGGAGGAAGCTTTGACATGATGGGCGTCAAGGGAGGCATGGTGGGTGGCCAGAGAGAAATCGTTTAGAGCCGAATTGAGGCCCTCGTGGTGGGATCGACTCCAGGAGTGAGGGTGGAGGGTATGGGCCTGGGGTTGGTGAACCTTGACCTTCGGCATAACCTTAGATGTCCTTGTCTCCTACAATCAGTGACCGGCTTGTCACTCGTTCCAGGGAGGAAAACTGGTGGCTGTGGTGAAGGGGGCCAATGCACCGCTGCTTCGGAAGACCATCTTACACCAGCTGGAGGCCGAAAAGAAGGTTCTGGCTGAAGGCAGGGCACGCAACGTGGTAAGTGGAGGCCACTTGTTCACCTAGCAGGCTCACAAATGTCTCACATGGAGCCCTTCTCCCTCCCCAGTGTGGAAGCCTAGGTGTCCTACACCAGGACTGTCCTTCACCCAGGCCCGTGAGAGAGCGCACATTCTGAAGTCCCTTTCTTCCCAGAGCCTCTGGAATGTCTTTGATCCATTTCCCTTTCACTCACAACTAAACTCAGTCATGACTTCAGGGACGGAGACAAATGGACAGAATCGAGTCGTGACTTAGCCCATAGCAAAATACCCGAGACAATCGATTTTTAAGTGGAAAAGTTCATTTTGGCTCACAGCTTAGGCCTCAGTCCACAGTCAGCTGGGTCTGTTGATTTTGGGCCAGTGTCAAGGCAGCATGTGGTAAAGGCTGTTCATCTCAAGGAGCTGGAAAGAATAGCCTCCTCTCCGGTCTCCTTCAAGTATACTCCCCTTGTGACCTGTATGGCCCCACCTCTTCAGGTCCCACAATCTTCAAGCTAAGGACCATGAGCTTAATGCATGGGCTTTTGGGGAACACCCAAACTACAGCAGATGGATAGGAGGATCTTCCCCAGACTCATGGTGAACTCTCTCTTGGTGACCCACACACTCAAATCTCTAAAGCACACACAGGCCATTTCCTGAATTTAGAAACCTAGCTGTCATTACTATGGGAGACAGGATCAGCATAACCCGTGGCTTTGAGAATACAGACTGCACCATCGCCACAGTCAACTGGCAGTCTTTAACTATCCATACACTGTAGGACTTTTATGTAGGTGCAGGCGTTTCCAGGCACCTTGTGCATCTGCGGGGAGCTCAATGTTGGGTGTTCACTGTCCAAGCCTTCATACTAAGTTCCCAAGAGCACAGTCCCTTTTCTAGGACTCATAGACTCAGGTCATACTTCCACATTGCCAAAGAAGGAAGACCACACGTTCACATTCTTCCCAAGCTGCCTCTGGGGAAATGGTCTGTCCCTTTACTTCTCTGCACTGGGTGGCAGATCCCTTGTATTGGAATGCCAGTTGTCTGTTCTTTACCTTAGTCTCTACTTGTGCTTGGTTAAGAGGCAGACTCTGAAGGCCCAGACACTGGTGACCTTGTCAAGGTTTATGTTCTGCATTTTAATGCTCTTTCTGCAGACGTTGAAAGTCTTCATAATAATTTGCATTAGCTAACTCCTTCCTATTCATGACTGATTTGCCCTAGGTTACTGATGAGTTTCTTTCTGGTGCAGCCAAGTGTCCTCCCCAAGAAAAGGATGGTGGTGAAGATGGGGACCTAGGTGAGTGCAGAGACAACAAGCAAGCTGGATTCTGATTTGATGAACACATTAAATAAACGAGTCACCAGGCTACTGGGACATCTTAGTTCTGAGAAACTGGCCACGAGCATTCTGTCTTCAACACTTGGCTTCACACAAACGGGTTTCCCTTCTGCCCTTTTGGTGGCATCAGGGGTACATTTGGCAGCTTTCAGGTGATACTCAAATATGACCTCGATGCAATCATTGGATATCAGGAAGTGATCCTTCTAGAAACTTCAGTAATAATAGAGAAGAGAGTAATGAGTTCTGTTTGATCTGCAGAGTTCAAATTTCACTTTCTGCCTCTTCCTGAAACACCAGGGGCCATCCCTTCTCCACAGCCCTTTTTCTCCTGCTCACAGGCCCATGCTCTCCCTCCCTGATTCTCTAGCCATCACCACAGGTTTCACAAGCACTGCATTGTGGCTCTTCCAGAGCCTTCCTAGGAGAAGAGTAGCCTGGCTGTGTGTGAGGATCAGAGAGTTAGACAGACTGCTGCCAGAAAGGTGTCTTGTGTTAGCAACCAAGATGCCAGGGAATCAGGTGCCAGTGAACCAGGACTAGATGCCAGGGAACCGGGGCAGGGTACAGCGGGCAGGAGGAAGCTTTAAAGTTATCATCCCATGACATGCATGGTTTTTTCTCCTAAGTGCTCAGTAAGGACTGTTGGATTGGAGTCTGACAGGGCAGGAAGCATGCCCCAGGAAAGCCAGGAAACCATGGAGAAGACAATCTGTGAATTGGCTCTCATAGGAAATATCCTTTCTGTATTGTTGCCTCTTCCCTCCTCTGTCATATCCTCCACAGTGAAGCCTCTTTGGCCCAGAAAACCACACAGAACTCTTTCTCTCCCTTAGCATCTTCTCCCTCTCGGCTAAGATTTGTGAACTTTGTCCCCATCTCAGAGCCACCTCTCACCTTCACTCCTGCTGATGGGGTGTGGCCTGGCTCTGAACCCACTGCTCCTGAAAGGGCAGCCCTGAGAGGCCCAGTGGTAACCTGCTGCCCCAGGCCACCACAGTCTCTTTCTGCACAGAAGGATGATACTCATGTGCCCTCCTCCTCAATGCCCCCACCCTGCACGTGTGTTTATCTGGAGAGGGGACCTGGGCCTTCATGCATGCTAGGCCAGCCTCTCTGAGCTAGGGCTCACATCCCCACCCTCTGGTCTCTGAGATAACATCTTTGTATTTCTCTGGCCTCTCTTCCTGGGCTTCCCCTTTGGCCAGAAGCTGGGCGATGAGGCCTGCAAGGGCTTCATCTCTTCTCCCTCTATGCTTTAGTGATCTCACAAGCCTACACCAATTCATCACAGAATCAATCATAACAGTACTCTAATGTTGTGTTCACAGTGTATCAGAAATGGTAACCATAGAAACACTAGCAGGTGGTTGCTTAGGATGACACACACTCTGCGAGTCAGCTTTTCTGTGGCCATATGGAATACCTGGGAATAATCACCTTATGTAGGCAAGATGTCTATTTGGGCTCAGAGTTTTGGAGCTTTCGGCCCATAATCAATTGGTCCTGATGCTTTGAGGCCTGTGGTAAAGCAGCACAGGGCAGGAGCATTTGGTAGAGCAGGTATCTGATCATGAGGAGGCACACAAGAGGGAAAGGAGCTGCAGCACCACAGACCTCTGCAAGAGCAGAAGCCCTGTGCCTGGCCACCTCTCAGTGGGCCCCGGCTTTCAACGATTCAGCCATCTCCCAACAGGGCCACAGGCTGGGGACCAAGCCTTTAGCACCTGGGCCCACAGGAGGCATTTGTCCAATGGATGGTATATACCTACTTAGTATGGCTTTACAGATATTCCCAGTAGAATTCTTCCTTAGATACAGCTGGTTTTGTTTCATTGTGGTACAACAGATATAAAAGTTGAGAAGCAGGAACTAGATACTGGGAGATGTTGATTTGGCAGAGAATGCAGAAAACTTACCAAGGCCAAGTTCATGTAACTAGGAACCCAACAGAGATGGGGTCTGGGGCAGGACAAAGCTTTCCCTACAGTTCCCTGCAGCTTGGACCTAAGTAGCCTCTGATCATCAGAGTTGATCCCCAGCACAGCCAAATTAAAGCTAAAACCAAAACAAAACAACTCAAGTTGCTGTATCTGACCTTCTCTTGGAAACATGAAGTGATACAGGGAGGTTTGAAGCTACAATTTAGTAGCATGTGCTCGAGTTGAGGAGTTCAAAGTTCGCGTGGGGCTTGGGGGCAACCATTTCTACCACCTGGCAAGAAAGGCAAAAATCAGAAGGGGGCTGGAGAGAGGCTGGGAGGTTAAAGAGCACTGTCTGCTCTTCTAGAGGACTCAGCTTCGATTCCCAGCGCCCACGTGGCAGTTAACAACTGTCTGGAACTCCAGTCCCAGCGAATCCAATGCCATCTTCTGGCCTCCGTGGATACTGTACACCCATGGTGCACAGGCATACAAGTAGGCAAACATCCATACACAGAATACAAGTTTATTTTGCAGAAGCAAAGGAGTCAGGAGAGAGAAGAGAGCAAGGCAGACAGCAGTTAAAACTGAGACCCACAAGAGAGGGTGAGGAAGGCATGGGTTGTCACCTCTTGTCTTGGGCTCCTTGCCCGCCTGTCTCCAGGCAACTCATACAGTCATTCCAAGTTTCTGTTCCCGAACAGCCTTTTAGAAATGTCCACCTCTATATGTTCCCAGACCAGAGTTCAGAGAGCCAGTCTCTGTCCCTGTAAGGCTATGGTTCTTGGCTGTGGTCTGGTGCCAGACTGGTGCCATTTACTAGAGTCAGAGGCACAGCCTAGAGACCAGAGGATGGAACCTGGCACTTGGTGTGATGGAGCCTGTACTGAAACAGCACTGTCCTCTCCCTGCAAATGGCCTCAGCATCTGACAGCGCCTCCCATGGCTCATTTCAGTGTCATCAGAGAAGAACTGTACATTAGCCATCATTAAGCCAGATGCAGTGGCCCACGGAAAGGCTGATGAGATCATCATGAAGGTAGGAGATACAAGACTTACATGTTTCCCCTGCAGTGGCTTCACAGGGATGGGGACGGTGACACCTGTGATGTACTGGGGAAAGGGGGCTTCTGATGAGTTATGACTCAAACTTTATCCCGGGTTGGGAGGATATTACATCTGGGGGCAGGTGCTGGAGCCAGGGAGGGGGAGGGGCTATGGACTTGCAACTGCTTTTAATGTTGCCCATCTTTATTTTATTCCTTCCATTAAGATCACTATAAATGTGGGCATTAGTCACATTTGCAGAACACACACCTATGTGTATATGTGCGCGCGTGCGTGCGCGCGCGCACACACACACACACACACACACGTATGTATGTATATATGTATGTATTCTGCAGATCCAGGAAGCAGGATTTGACATTCTATCAAAGGAAGACAGAACCCTGACAGAGGCAGAAATGCAAGTGTTCTATCAACACAGAGCCGGGGAGGTCAGCTCATCTGCTCCTATTTCACTGTAATTCACTCATCTCTCCTCTTCCAACACTATGCTGATAGTTTGATAGGAGTTGAGGGGAGCAATATGAGGAGCAAGAATATGAATGGCAAGTGGGTGGGTAATGAATTATACTCAGAATATGATTAGAGCCTGTACAGCTCAAGAACAATGGCTGCAAGGAAAATAATTTAACTGTAATGGAATAAAGACTTTTATTAGGAGGATGCACCCATAACTCTCAGAATTCATGACAGAAAATGAAAAAGTTTAATAAGAGGACTTGGAGAGAAGAGAAGCCAAGAAAGTTCCAGGCCCACAGGAGCCAAGGCAGCAGGCAAACCACTCAAAACATCACCAGTTGCCACTGGAGTCTTCATGCTTTTCCCGCTTGCTTCTGCTTATGATTTGCCTACTTGGGGAGTGCAGCCAACCACTCTTAGGTCATAGCGCCACTTCCTAAGTCAGAGGTGTGATGGTTGCTATGCATCATGGTTGTGAAATGAGGAGCAAATGAAAGGGAGGAGAGATCTTCCCCGAAGGAAAGCAGGATACTGTTACTGAAGGAGAAAGGGGAGGGGAATCCCATCTATACTGTGCCCTTGGAGATCCAACACCCACAAACTACATATCTGTAGCACAAGTTCTAATAGGTCTTAATAATAAAAGCCTGGAGTCAGATACAGGGGGAAACGCTGAGAGATCGGAGGTAAGAAGGAGAGGAGCAAAACCACAGCCACCTTGTCTACTCAACTTCCCAGCTGAAATGAGACTGAGCTCCTGTCTCCTCCGGCTTATCACTTCCTATCTGTCTGTACAGACCTCCAGACCTCTACGGTTAACGAGGGACTAGCTCCACCCTCTGACCTTTAGGCAAGCTTTTTTTATTAAAGTACAAACCACACATATCCACACATACAATGCTTTTAGCATGCCACTACTCACCTGGCTCACCTTCCTGGGACCCTGGGGGTGTGGCTGGCCACCACCATCACAGCAAGCAGACATGGCTGTGTGTCCATGAGTACACAAGGCTGCTTATAACTCCCTTCCAGTGTGTGGGTGGTCTGGGGTCACTGGCCTCCTTCGGCTATCAGTAACCCCTGTCCCAGGCCACTGTTTTTCTTCCCTGTGCCCAGGAGGCATTTGAGAAGCTAGTCCATCACATGTGCAGTGGACCCAGCCACCTCCTGATCCTCACCAAGACGGAGGGCACCGAGGATGTAGTCGCTGCTTGGCAAACCTTCCTGGGGCCTTGTGACCCCACTGTGGCCAGGAAGGAGAACCCCGAAAGGTGATGCCAACTGTAGTCTCTTCATCTACCTCCAGCTGACACTTCATTTGGTGTTTGGTTTGGAATTGTGGGTGATGCTGTTAGCTTTCTGGTGGTCAGGACGTCCCTTTCTATACATATGGGAAGCCTTGGACATCTTCCTACTCAGATTGAGTTTTCCAGCCTCTTCTAAAGGCTGCTGCTGAGTGTGGCTCACAGTCACTGACCTCAGGGACCCAGACAGGCCTGCCAAGTCAAAGGTTCAGCATGGCCTGTGCTATAGCAGGAAGCTTCCTGTTCAACACACCTTCCAGGACCTGTATAGCCTGCTCTGTGAGTCAGTGAGCAGCTTAGCCTGGAGTCACAGTACCAATTCCATGGGTCCTGGCCTTTGAGGTGACAGATCCATCGACAGACAACAGGACAGAACTTAGCTAAAGGCTAAAGCCCTAGAGCTATATGTACCTTGCAGACATAAGGGGCAAGGGCATCTAGCTGAGGGTAAATAAAGCAGCCGAGGGCTCGGACCTCAAGTCACCCCTTAATGGGTCAAGTCTCTCCTTGGCTTCAGTTCCCTGGGCTGTAACATGGGGATACCCATGATCAGAGTTCAGAGGCATTTAGAGGCGTGCTCAGCACATAGGTCCTACCTAGCTAGCCCTACCAGAGTTACAGTTCTTATCAAAAGTAGTCATTAGGGTCCTTGCGGTGCGACGGGAGCATGTCTGACTCCAAAATTAGTCATGAAAAGCTGTATGAGGCACCACACAGTGCTGGCCCTAGGCAGTGACACAATGTAGTGGGATTGTCTCCCTCTGGGCAGGCGTGACATGCAGCCAGGCCCTGTGTGTGATAACCCTGGCCAGCAGCTGTTGGCACGGCTGCTGCTCTCAGATTCTCTGCAAAAAGCAAGCAGCCTCATGCTGATTGGTAGCTGGTGGTCTTGTTCCAGAGAGCAAAGCATTCTTTTTTCAAGTGAAGCAATTGTTTCTTTTCCATTGTTCCAATGCTCCCAGTCTCCGGGCTCAGTATGGCACAGAAATGCCCTTTAATGCTGTGCATGGAAGCCGGAGCAGAGAAGAGGCCAACAGAGAGCTGGCCCTGCTCTTCCCTAGCTTCAAGTTTTCCAGTAAAGTCACGGAAGCCCCACGGGGTAAGTTGTCAAGGCAGATTTCTTTATTAAATCTGAGGTGAAAGCTAATTACGGCTATGCGTGTGTGAAGCTGACAGCTTGCCTCCTAATTAGCAAATAAAATCCTATTCTGAAACCCAGGTCACCTTGTAACTGGTGTCAGCATTGGGGCAGCTTTTAATTACCACATTGGGCTTTCTGCTTATTGTGGAGCCTCAGTTCCACTGTGAAGACACTTTGCCCGTCTTTCTGCAAACCGTGAGGAAAATCTATCTTTATAATTTCACATTATGCATGCTTTACATACCGATTGCTTTCATCTCCCACCTTCCTCTCACCCCTACCCAGCCTCCCTCCCCAACAAATCTCTCTAGTGTTCATGTCTGTTCTTTTTGTATTGTGGTCCACCAAGATTAGCCAGTCACCTGTGTGACCATGGGGTTGAAGCTATCTGTTAGTGAATGCCTTGAAGAACCCAGAGAGCACAACAAACTAAAGACTACGATTCCCTTTCTCTTAGGACCTATTGACAGTCAAGAGTTTAGAGGTAAAGAGTGGGACCTCATGAGGGCCCCAAGCAGCTCATGACTGACAGCCGACATGAGTTAATGATTACAGCTGTCTAGGGAACGGTGTTTGATGGCCCTTCACCCTGCCTTCTGGTCCTCTTTTCACAAGGTTCTCTGAGCATTAGAGGGGGTGGTATGTGACTTAACTCAGGACTGGGCCCACATGTCACTCATTATCTGCATTCTAGGCAGCCACCAGTCCTTATTTACTACTGCCCAGTCAGTTCTCTGATCAGGGCCGGGTGTCACCTTTGTCTATGGGTCTCAGCACTGTTATTCAGAAGGCAATTGCTAATATCCAGTTGGGTTAACCCAGGGAAAACGTTCCCTATGTGGGCTTACTCCTCCCATAGGTGGGTTGTTAACTAGGCTCCCAGGTACTGGTCCCATCCTCTAGGAGAGGATCCTGAATCCATGCAGATGGCTCTCAGTTATCCTATCAACACTGTGTCTACGGGCATGCCTTGCTTTTCAAAGAGCTTCTTCATACATGATGAAGTTAATCCTCTGCCCATCCCACACTCTCATTTCCCTAACCTCCAAGGCCTCCTGCCCTGCCTAAACCTTTCCATCCGCACCCACTCCCCACTTTCTTCTTATGTTCTACTACATGCCTTTCCGTAATTCTTACCTCACATCGCCTTGCTTCCTCACTTGCACGGTCCATGTGATACGAATCATACTGAGGAGCTAACACAATGATCCTCGTGTGAGAGCATGTGACATTTGTCCATTTGGGTCTGGGTTACCTTACTTAATTTTTTTTTTCTCATTTCCATCCATTTCCCTGCAAATTTCATTTTTCTTTACAGCTGGGTAATATCCCACTGCAAATGTACAAACCTTAATTACCTATCAGTTACTTTATTTCTTAGCCCTGTGGATAGGGCAGCAGTGAACAAGGGCCACTATCCATGTCATAGGGCAGAGAGTCCTTTGGGTATGTGCTCAGGTTGGTATATGTATTTGAGAGCTTTTAGGCATGTGCTCAAAAGTGGTATACGTATTTGCAAACCCTCCAGATTGCTTTCCAGTGTGGCCACAGTAGTTTAACATTCCTATCAGCAGTGTACAAAGGTCACCCTTTCCACACATCTGCACCAGCTTTTCTTACTGGTCTCGATAATTGCCATTCTGTTGTGGGAACTGGAATCTTAAAATGGTTCTAATCTGAATTTCCTTAATGGCCAAGGTTGCCCAACACCTTTAAAGTGTTTTAGTCACAGGAAAATTTCAATACCTTTCTTAGACTTACTTCAAAGCCAGGTGGCCCTCTCTTGTCTCTGTGCCTTACCCCCTTCCCTGGCAGGCTTGTTGAGACCCCTCATCCAACATTAGAGTGGGCTATGAAGGCTCAGTATCTTTCCCTCCACGGGAAGCACTCACAGGGCCTGGGAAAGACAGGCCAGGCCAGGCCATCATCTTCTCCAGATCTGGATGAGAAACCAGAATCTGGGTGCACAGAACACTGATTCTGCACCAGTGGAAGAATTGGGTTCAGCTAGCACTGAGGCTACAAAGGACTGAAAGGGGGTAGGAAATGAGGAGCCTAGGAAAAACCCAAGGATGTAAAGGTTAGTTTCTTAAGAGCAGGCCAGCCAGGGGTGGCAGATGCCTTTAATTACAGCACTTAGGACAGAGAGGCAGGCAGATCTGAGTTGAGGACAGCCTGGTTTACACAGTGAGTTCCAGGACAGCCAGGGCTGAAACCCTGTCTTAAAGAAAACCACCACCATTACCACCACCACCACCAACAACAACAAAACAATGAAAACCCCAACCAAACAACAAAAACCATCAATCAGGAAAGAGGAGATGCACAGAGATCTAAAGTGTGCATCACCTGTGTTTGGATTTTGTCTACCTAATGCTTGGTATGCTTATGGTCTCAGGATCTAACGCTCATCCTGTCAGGACGGGTGCGGTGGGAGCTGAGGAACATGCTAAGGGCACCCTTGGGGAGTGTGGCTCTGGGGAAGTCAGAGACTCAAGTTCACACAACCAAGCACTGGAGTTCTTCAGTCTTCTCGCTTTGATGGATGGACAGACAGTCCTGCCAGGGCCAGCTCCCTTCAGAGCCCATGATGCATCTTCATCCATTTGGGGGCATGACTGGAGGCAGGAAGGTGTAACTCAGGGCCAACATGGGGTGCATGGAAGTGAACTGGCTGCAAACAACTGGCTAGGGGTCCTGGGGAGTTCTGGAAATTTAGGATCTGACATTTTGGCCTCAGCTCATACAGCAAGGGTGATAATTCTAGAAGGATCTGAGTCCAAACCACACTTGGATCTCATGATGCAGCCTCACTGGGAGGAGCAGGCACTGCCACTTACTCAGCACTTTCCCCAATACAGGCTCTGGGGTCAGATCCCAGCTCCAATATGTGCCAGCTAAACAGCTCTGGAAAGTTACTTTCCTGTGCTGGGTCGACATCTTCATGTGTGAAATGGAGAGTGATAGGCCCATTTAAACCCCAAACTAATAATTGCAGCCCACCATCTTCCTCCCAGATCTGTTGTGAAGATGAAAGGAGACAGGATGTAAAGGTCTAGCCTGTGACCGGCTTATCCAGGGCCATGGTTGTTTCAACAGTCTTATAGAACAATGTTATCCCCTCCCCCAGGTCCTGAGGCTCAAAGGGTGGTAAGCCCCATGGAGGCCCTTTGCATCTGAGTGTATCTGAAACAAGGGCACTACTGCCCTGCCAGGGTCGAGGCCACAAGAGGAGACATCAATATGCTCACGTCTTCACAGAAGGACCTACAGAGGATGATTTCAGAGGACCAGAGTTCTCGGTTCAGCCCTATCTTGTAGACAATGAAAATAACTGTATATACTTCCCTGCCTTATTAAACATACCCTGCCCTCTTGCCACTGTACTTTGCCGAGGCATGGTCTGACCTCAGAGGACACTGGATCTCCCCAACAATAAATCTACTGATTTGAGCCTAGCTTGGTAGCTTAAAAACAAAACAGGTATTTTCTGTGGGGTTGTGTGTGTACATGTATACATGTGGTGTGTATGTGTGGATATGTACCGGTGAGTGCGGGTGCAGGTCAGATGACAACTGAAGGGAGTCGATTATCTCCTTCTACCATGTGGGCCCTGGGTATCTGAAGATCATCCAGGTACCTGTTTCTTGCTGGGCCATCCACCTTAGCAGCCCCAACTCTGTAACCTGAGATTTGAAATTAGCTTGATAGGTATGGCGCTGCCACATACTGACACAGGACAGGTGTGAACAGGCTTTGGTGCTGCTGGTGTTAGCTATTCAAGTTACAAGGGCAGTCACTAACCCTGCAGTTCAACACACATCAAGGCATGTTTCTAAAACATGTGGAACCAAGGCTAATTTAATACTCTCCTCCCCTATTTCTTTGGCTTCTGATTGGGCTAAAGTCCAGTTTTAAGAGCCGATCACGTGCTCCTGTGGAGCCAGGCAGCCTTGGTTTTCACTGAGTGGCTGCCTCAGCTGCCCCTTCTTCCTCTAAGGGATGTGAGATTTTAGTAAGAAGTAACTTATTTAAGACCCTGTGATGTTAGCACACACATGGCCACTCCTGGGACCACCTTGTTTGTGCATATTTTGTGCACTGGCCAAACCCAGGCACATGCTACTCTGAGGAGTGGCCTTGCTCTTCCACCATGAGGAAAATGCCAGCACTTTCTTTTGCTGGTCTTCTTCAGAGAAGTTCACTCTGGAGACGTCAGGCTCTGAGCAGGCAGTTTGCTCTCAGAAGCCAGCTCTGCACTGGGGGAATTACATCTTCTGTCTACCTAACCTAAGAACTCTGGTGAGCACTGTGCGCTCTTGGAAAAGGAAAGAAGACATGAGACAGGGGCCTACCATTTAAATTCATGTCCTCAAGTCACCTTTGATGTGTACCCCATGGTACTCCACAGGGCCTGTCCTGGGCTCCCTCACGACTCTGTGCTCACCACTTGTTAGGATCCCCTATTGCCAACTCCGGCACATAGAGCAGAGTGGGGCCATGCTCTTTTTGAGTATGTGCTCGAGAGAACTGCCATGTTACAGCTTCCGCACAACAGACATCAGTTACAGCTCCAATGTACCCATAGGAGCGTGTGCACTGACAGCTACCTCGCCTCCCCAAATCAGGGTGCCGGGGGGCTTATCTCTGGCAAGAAGAGAACTGGGGCAAGCAAGGCCCCCAAAAGCAGGGGGAGAGGGAATAGTGGATGAGGAACTGGGCCTGAAGGTGAGATGTTCCTGTTAGTGACAGCTGGAGCCCTTCCTCGAAGACAGGTAGGAGGATGAAGCTGGACTGTGGGAGCACGGTGCAGTACGGGGACAACCTCCTTCACCGCTTTGGCCTTGAGGATGCTGTATGCATCACACTACGCTGCTTTTAAGAATCCACAAGATTCTTGGCATAAAGGGTGGAGTTTGGGAAGGGGCATCCTTAAGTGGCTGTTAAGGTCAGCTCACTCTCAGGGGACAGTGCTCTTGGTAGCGTCCCTTGGCCTGGCACCTTAACAGGAATCAGCCAAGGGCGGCTTTTGGATGGGTCTTAGGGCTTTGGGATCTGTTCCAGCAACTGGTATGAGAAGTCAAAGGGGTGGCTCCACTCTGAGGGCTGGCTTTGGCCTGCTCTCAGTGACAGCCACGTTGCCTGGCAACACCAGAAGCAGGAGCTGGGAGCTTCAGAGACAGAGTGGGTGGCTCCACCATCTATGCGGTGGTCCATACATTCTCTCAGCTCTCAAGGATAGGTCCTGAAGAAAAACTTGACTCATGGGGCAAACGAATGAGCCTCTGCTCAGTGATCAGAAAAGGTAAGGCAAGGTAAGGTAAGACCTATCCCAGTTAGAAGGTGTTAGGACCAAGACCTAGAGTGACAATGTCCCCTTTCTCAGGCTTTGCTCATTTTCCCTAGGGAAGTTACAAAAAAGGAAGTCACCTGGTCTTCCTCCTACAGTCACTTCAGGTACCCCAGAGAGTCACAGCACCAAAATTTTCTTCACTTAATGCCTACCTCATTGTCCTCATGCTTTGAGGCAGGTAACCCTGGATTTCTATTTCCAGCGAGGCGGTGGTAAACCAGCCCAGTATGGAAGTGAGGAACACCTGTGTGTCCCTGCAGAAGGACAGGAGTTTGTCAAAGTCAAGGAGAAGACACAGCACAGCATGTTGGGGAGGGTCTTGGTGGCTGGAATGGGTCCCTATAAAGGGTCTGCAGGCTCTCCAAGGGCCAGACAGAGGAGTCCTGAGACCACTGCAGATGCCCTGAGAGCCATAACTGGCTTGAGGTTCTGACTTACGCTCCACAATGCACAACCCTTCCCAGCCCTCATTTTGAATCACAGCCTCTAAGAGCCAGTCCACTTTATCTTCTACCATGTCATTATGCTCCAGTCATTTGGAAAACAGACTCCTTTTAAGAAGTTGCCATGATTTTTCTTGGCTTTTATTAGCATGTGTTAAAATCATATTATCCAAACACTACCAGGAGAACACATATTGTTCTGAATAAAGTGCTTAAGGGAAAAAAATGCAACTTATTAAACTGGACATTCTTTTCTAGTTCATAAATTTTGGGTTACAATCAGGGCACAAAAGGAGAAACAGAATGCAGTATTAGAGCGAGAAGCTTCAGTAAGAACCTGGGTGCAGACATAAGACCATGTCCCATTTTCCCCGCTTCCTTGCTGACAAACACTGCACCTGCGTAAAGCAGCAAACAGCTTTGTTTTAATAAATACATTTCCCTTCATTCAAATCAGAAAAGTTAATTATAGTAAAGCACTTTTTATGTGACCATTGCTTATACCCACAGGCAAGATTTACCACAGAGTTCACGGCGTCTTCAGCCCTCTCATGCTATTTGGGTTTAAGATTGTCTCAGCAATGTGTTATTGGTTTCTTTATATTTACTGGTACTTTCTAAAACTGACGCTGTAGCATTTTGTGTTACAAATACTATCCAAGGGTACAGTCTCAGCACCGGAAGTGGCAATGAGCGGGCCCTCATAAGGCTTCATTCCCAGTAAACCTGGCTTCCTTTAAGCTCGTTTTCTCGAATTAGCACTCTAGACACCTGCACAAAACCCAAGTTCTGTTGTGACAGCTTTTAAATCAGCAATGTTCTGAAAAACAACTTGGAAATCTCTGTGTTTGTATCTTGGGTGGTCATATGGAGAACAGGAAACATTGCATTAAATACATTGAAAAACATTCATTTGTAATTAACCATATTGAAATCTCCCAGGGAAGGCGCAGGCTGGTGACAGAGCAGCTGGCGGGTGAGCAACCCTGTCAGGAGTGGCTGGTGGCAGGTGAGCAACCCTGGCAGCTGCGCATTCCCTGCAAGCTTCTGGGTCACAGACCTCACACCCTGCCTGCCATGCTTCTGACCTCCTCCTAGTCAGAGGAAAGGCAGGCTGGTTTCTACCTCTGTTGAGTTCACCTTGAAAGGACCAGAAGTTAGAGCAGATGCCAAGAAATAAAAAATAAAAAGAAGTCATCTCCAGCCATCCTGGGGAGAGTCCCTTCCCTTCTCTCAACATTTAGTATTTTAGCTTCATTCAGAAAAAGACTTCCCATCTCATTCTAAGAAAGCACAACAACCAGGCATCCCCAGCTGCCGTGTGGCCTTCTCTGGTATGATCAAGAAGACTTTCTAGAAGATAGAGCTTTCTAGAAGGTAGGAGGAGGCTGCTTCTTTCTAGGGCGTGTTTGTAGAACAAGCTGGTCTCACAGAGATATATGGGGCTGCAGGCAGCACGCGGTGGTCTGGCTGGTTTCTAGGAAGGGGCCCCTGACTTTCTGTTTCTAAACCCTGCTGGATATGGCCACACTAAAGACAGGACTAGGGAGTTGGGAGGCTCTGGATCCCCAGTCCTGTCAAAGGCAGCCCACCCGGTCCTCCCTAGACTTCCACTATCAATAGCTCCAGCTCCCTTTGTCGGTTTAAAACCCTGCAGCGACTCTGCAGCTTTACTCTGCTCCATTCCACCGTCCTTCTGATGTGGAAGCCTGAGAACATATTGAATTAGGCTGAAAAAACAAAACAAAACAACACACAAAGGCTTTGTACCTGCTAATGTTGACGGCAGTAAGAGGCTAGCTTACTATCTGCACAGCACCATGTACAGCGCCTGTTATTCAGGCCGGCTGTAGCCAACTTTTTCTTTGTCTTTTTTTTTTTTTTTTTTTTTTTTTTTTTTTGTTTTTATAAAGAAAATCTATGTAAGTTGAGGTTCAGAAATGCATATATTTTTTACTTACAAATATTCATCTGACCAAAATTCAACATAACTTTTATGGAACACTAAACAATTGTTTTGCTTTTAAAATAACATTTCATTCAAACTGTATATAATTCAGTAAAGTTTTTTTTTATACAGCAAGCAATGCTTAAACCCTGGAAAATCTGTAGAAAAGAGATTTTCACACAAAATAAGAAAAGAAAAATCTGAGGTATCCCTCACCCACACAGCCATTCACTCTCTCATGCATGCGCTCACACATGCTTGTACACACACACACACACACACACACACACACACACACACATACCATTCTTGCTCACAAAGTGGCTGCAGCATAGGCAAAAAATTGTAGGTCCAAAGGAAAATGATTGATTGTTCTAATAAAGAGTCCAGGTAGCTCAGGAACAAAACAAAACACAATAATCCTCTGAGGAAATTACTACCTCAAAAAAATGCTCTCAAGATGAATTTGAGATCTAAGCCTACTAAACTGCTTTGCAAAACAGCTCCCTGCAGTCCAAGGTGACGTGTGCAAATAGAAGGAGTCAAATGAGGCTAGCTCCTGTACTTCCTTAAACAAAGGTGTGGGGTGCTTGCAGGTGCCCGGGGTTCTCCCATCATGCCAGGTACTGCTGCAACGCCGTCTTTGCCCTGAAATCACAAAGTTCCTGTTAGCCACCATCTCACAACTGTAACTGAGGGGAAAACCTTTGTGGCTAGTGATAGTTGGGGGGGGGGGGGGTTGAGCCCAGCTGAGCTCTACCTTACGGGGCAGACATCTATCATCATCAGACATTTCCCCCTAGGGTTGGTTCTCTTGGACAACTCCATGGTGTTCCTACAGGTGCAATGGGTCTGGAATCTGACTTGTTACTGCTGTGTGGGTTTTATGAGGCAATGCCTAGGACTAGGGGAGGGCACTGCGACGCTAACACAGGCAAAGGTGCTGAGGCACCTGAAAAGCAGCCAAGAGCCTGTCAGGTTCCAATGCCTGAGAACTATGCAGGTTAAGGTTTGGCAGACTATAAAGAAGACTCAAGTGTGGAGTTAAGGAGTCCATCTTTAGAAATGGTCTTCCTGCCTAGCTTACGGAAAGAAAAGGCTAAAACTGGTAGTTGCTATTAGCTGACCAAAGTGGCACTAATAGACGAAGCTGATGATAAACTAGACTCACTGTAAAGTCAAAGGTATAGTCTTACTCATTTTATTTGTTTTTCTATATGTGTGTGACAGATTCACTCTCTCTGGAGTCTGGGCTGGCCTAGAACTCACTATGTAGCCTGTTTCCGCCTTGAGCTGGCAATGATCCTCTTGTATGCCCCCACCCCCCAATGCCGAGATTACACACAGTTTTTGAAGTGGAGCCCAAGAATCGCCTGGTTGAGTGGCAGACTTTACTGTGCCAACACAAGTGGTTCTTAATTGAAATCTTGTACTAGTCTTCAAACTCGTAATTCAGCCCGTGTGGTAGTGGGCATCAATAATGCACTAGAGAGACGGAGGCAGGAAAGGGATCACGAGTTCCAGGCCAGCCTGGTCAAAGGGTAGGGACTGACCTCTCCCTCAAATAACAATTGATAGATTCTTGGGAGCTCCAGAGTGCACACTCATTGTGTTTATACTATGTTTATACTATCTAAGGAGTCTTTCAGTCTTTCAGATGGGTGATTTTAGAGATGGACAGGCTGAGTAGCTCACTCCTTGGTTTTTTTTTTTTTCTTCCCCAAGGCAGGCTCTTGCCATGTAAACCAGCTTGCACTGCAGCTGAGGCTGGCCTCAGAATCACCATCCTCTTCACAGCTTCCTGGGTGCTGAGGGCACAGGTGAGCACCTCTAATCCCAGCTACCTTTCCTTTTAATAGGGGCTTGTCTATGCTAAGTGGAAACCCAAAACTTGTATGCCACACAAATTTGGAGAAACAGCATCAGAGGCCAGAACCCAAACCTATCGCACTTCATATCGATGATGGGTTTCTTTGAATTCTAGATCCCCCAAAGACAGTTTTAAGTAGGTTTTCTCTTCCAAACAAATCAATTAGCAGCATGGCTCTCAGTCAAAAGAGGTGGGCTGACAAAGCCTACCAATTAAGGCGGCAACCCTGGAGGGGAGGCGGAGACTCCTGCCTGCAGCTGACCCCATT